TAACAAAAAGTTTGAGGGTAGGTATTATGGGTTTAAAAGCGAGTCGTGTGTTTGTCGAATATGAAATCATTAGTAGTAGCCGTATGATCAAGCAAAGAAAAGCAATCATGAAACGCAAACCGTCGATATCGTCGTAAAATTCCATTGTCGTTAAATGATTCGATACCCATGACAACGTTAATGTATCAAGCAAGTAGTTAGTTGAGAGTGATGTTAGTGGCAATTAGTGTCGTTAGTTGATAGGTTAGTGGTAGTTAGTGTCGTTGTCGAACAAGAGTTGGAGTTAGTATTAAATTAAATGTGCGTTCATTCCGTATGATCAAATAACACAGTAGAACGACATCATTAGTAATCCATAACAATTATTATAAAAAATAGCACAAGCAACGAAATTAGTTTGTACATCAGTGAATACAATAGAATATAACATTCAGACACTATCCAAGCCATGGCAGAACAAATCGAACAGAATATTAAACAATTAATAACACAAAACTTGCCACGTACCTGGCGGAGGAGGAACACTTGCTACAGACTGTTGCCAGGGAGGTATAGATGATGAAGTCCCTGGCGGTGTTGGAATTGAAGATTTTGCCCAAGGCGGAGCAGCAGATGTGGGACTGCTCGGAACCGGTACCGTCGTCGTTGCTGCGGTCGCGGCTGCTGCCCAAGGAGGTCTCGAAGCGGCTGACGGTCCGTAATGTCCCTAGATACAACACGTTTTGAGTTTACGATGCAATTAGATCTTATTGCAAACATTGTCTCCTTCTGTCATCTCCAATACTGCTCCCATCATTCTCTCCAGGTTGAAATATATATAACCCAGACTTACCGTTCGTCCTCCTGAATCTGTCTTACCATCATCAACACTAACTCCAATTTCTGCCATTAAATTCAGATACTCGCTGTCTAATCTCTGATCTCTCTGCTTGGCTTGTTGCAACGCTTCCGGGTTATTCCTTTCCATACAATCTCTCGCTGTATGCCCATGTCCATCGCAAATGCGACATGTAAGATTAATGGTAAAGTTTTGTGATTCACTGCACTCGTATTTACGGTGTCCGGTTGCACCACAATTGGTACAAATTTGATTTTCATCATCGCGGAGTGTCCCGTTCAAGGCGGCCAGCTCGCGAAGCTGTTGTCGCTTCAATTCGTTTTGTCCTTCAGGTACAGAGGCAGACTGGGTGTTTTCATAATAACGTTGTTCAGTATTTTTGCAGTCATAAAGAATTTACAATGTCAAGGTTACTTACCGTCTCTATAATCTTATTGATCATTTTTACAGCCTTGGCAACTTTATCTTCAGACTCGGCTGTTACCAAACAATGCAAATCCTCATCTTGATTTG